AAAAAAAAAAAAAAAAAAAAAAAAAAAAAAAAAAAAAAAAAGATAAAAGGATAAATTACTTACAGTGTATGTATGATAATGTCACAATTTTTCTCTTCTAGATAATTGTTGCACAACTGCAAATATTTGTTACGATTCGATCATTTTTTTCTTCAGTTTCTCTTTCGTTCAAAAATTACTGATCAGGTAATATTTACTCACAAGTTGTAATGAAGTTGTCATCACGATTCCAGCCGATTTCTATCAAGATTTATACCCGTTGTCTATAATATATAGATTGATCATAATCGACAATAAAATTATCTTCCTTTTTGTTTAGATAATATTGTTTAGTTGTATGTTTTGTCTATCATCATTGCTGGTATTACATTTTTTTTTTTTCTCTCTTCACTTTTTATATTAATAATCTAGCATTATCTATTAGATATAATACATAGATATATATATATATATATATATATATAATTTTAAATTCTTATCTCGAATGAAATCACCTTGGGAGGATAAAAAAATTTTCATTTGTTAAATTTTCCATTGATTTATTATCTATATCGATCTTATAAAATTTCAATAAAATTTTACTCGATGTATATTTCTTCCTTATTTATTCTTTCATTCGATTAATTATTTAGGGATATCTTTGAAGATATTGAGTTCGAGAGATTGAGTAAGTAAACTTTAAGGAACGATATAAAATGGCATTTACGAGCAAATAGAAGAGATTAAGAGATATTGTTAATTTCCGATCGATCATAGATATTTTTATAACGATGAATTATATGCAAGATAAAAAAAAAAAATCACGTTCCACGAATATTTACATATTTATTACGACATGCATGCATCTTGTAAAGACAATATTCCAAAGAACGGTCGTTTCGAGTTATAGCTTCGAAAGCAGTTTCTTTGATTATGAATAAAAACAAATGTATTATATATTCTTAACATTTTCATTAAATTACGTAACGTGACAAGTGAGAGAGATACGAGAAACACGAAGTAATACTGGTAGTTTATTTTTTAATTAATAATAACCTTCTAAGTGCATCTTATGTTGTATAATTTAAATATACGCAATACTTATATATATGTGTATAGAGAGAAAGAGTAAATATGGCCTCTATGATAAACTAATTGCGTTACAATAATATTGAAGCTACAATAAATTCTTAGCTATAAAATAACAACGATTTTATACAGATGGAATATCTGAAGGAAGATACGCGATAATTAAAATGAGTTCTATATTCAACAAATTTCTTATTTTTTCGATTATCCGAAAGACGACAATTGTATCGATTCGAAAGTTGATTTAACCAAAGGAGATTTGTGAGAGACGTGGGACGTATTGCGCGTGCATTCGATAGACACCGGTTTCGCTATTATGATAAGGTAAGTCGATGAATTGTATGTTTCATTTTATATTTATTATATATATATATAAAAGATTACGCAATATTCAATTTAGAAAACGTATGAATTAATTTAAAACGAGTATTATAGAAAATAAGTTCCATAAGTTTCTTTCCTCGAAATAAAATTTTTGAAATAATATTTCTATTTTAAAAATTATATTATTGACGTATTTCAATATTTTATTTCAGAAAATATCCCCAATATCGAAAAGTGTCTCCCATTTTTAAGGATATACCGATGAGTTATCGTCTAATAAAAGGTTTCAAGTCTCATTGTCGAAATATCGTGAACGGCTGTATCGATGCTTTGGACGATGTTGACATAATGGAAGCGATATTGCATACCATTGGAGAGAGACACGGCCGTCGAGGTCAGGATAGGCAACAGTTTATTGTAAGTTCGCGCGATTTATTACTGCCGCATTCGCTCGTTCTTTTTCGCTTATAATATTTTTAATTGGAAATGTTAATTGATAACATTAATCTTTATTGCATTATAATAATCGTAACGTAATATAATTGCGTTAAGAATTATACTTATAAATGGAAAGGAAATTGGATTTTATTTGGAGATAAATAATTAAAAGTTAATTAAAAAAAAAAAATTGAATTTTAAAGATGATTAAGCAGGTTATCACAATTGCGATTATTTTACTAAATTGTATTTTTTATTTTAGTAAATTGTATTTGTACGATGAAAGGAAGAGAATGATTTTATACGCAAATAATCATAATATTCGTTCGTAATACGATCCCTTCTCTAATTTATTAATTTTGAGGTTTTTAATAAATAAAATAGATTCTTGAATTGTGCGTACTTTAATTCTATTTCCAAATATGCTTCATTTATTTTAATGATATTTTATCGATATTTATCAGATATGGAAGTTCGATTAAATAAATTGCACAAGTTGATAGTTATCTATGTGTTTTAACAAAGATGAATCTTTGGAATCTTCATCCTTGAGTAATCATTACGACGTACGCATATCGCTTATTCTATATAAATAATAATTAATCATAAATTATTATATATCAGCACAATGATCAATTATTAGAACTATTAGTAAAAATAATAAATTCTTTATTAAAATAAAGTTAATGTTTCTCAGATTCTCAGAGAAAAGGAAAAAAAAAATTGTAAAAAATATCCCACGTATAAATTCATGCTACTCAGTTTTTTTTACCAAACTGTTAACTTAAAAAAAATCCATCGAAACTGAAACCGAGAGAAAGATTGAAACGACACATGATGAAACATTTTTCTGAAACAAGGTCAAGACTTGTATCCGGAAGTTTTCAACGTAAGTTGACAATAGCCTTCCGGATTCGAGGAAGGTCATTTTTTTCTTGATAATAATAACTTCAAGTTTGATTTTATCGACGAGCGAAATAGAATAGAACAATAAGTAGTTTTATAAGTGCAAATTGTAATTTGATATTGATTGCTTATTCAATATCGACTATTAAATATATAGAACAATGAGTAGTTTTATAAGTGCAAATTGTAATTTGATATTGATTGCTTATTCAATATCGATCATTATATTAGTATAGAATTTATATACTTTTCTATTAATTAATAAAATTTATTCGTATATAATTATAATATATTTACATAATTTCTTAACCTTAAAGATAATGTAATACACGATATTTCGATATCTTAATTAATTATAAAATGTAGTGCATAGTACAGTTATTGTTTGAGATTTAATAAATCTTATAATCTATAATAATAAGATCAGTAACTATGATTTCGAGATGAAAAATAATGATAACATTTTAACATCGACAATTATTCTTCAAAATAAATATTATAAGATAACGATTGCGTTAGTAAATTTTACAGATTTTTTTTGTTAACATTTAACAAATTCATTTAAAATGATTAATGTATATGAGAAGCTTTTTTTCAACATTTTATTCATATAACGTTATATGCTCACAATTATTCTCTTTCATGCTTGTTATATATTATTTTTATCTTACATTTTAGGATATGAAAGAAGTGATAATGGAAATAATGAAGCACACGTTGAAATCGAAATTTACCATCGAAATGGAATACTGCTTGGGATAAAACGATTGATATCTGTTTTTAAGAATATTCGAGACTCTGCTTTCTGAAATTGCAAACTGAAAACATTCTTTTATACATCCGTGTCCGAATCGCTTTCGAGATATATATAATCAGTAGTTCCGCTAGTACTGCTTTCAGTGTATTTCTTCTTTGTTTTTCTTTTATTTTGTTTTACATTCTCGTTTTCCTGTTGCTTTACTTTTCTACGATTTATAAAATTTTTTAATTTTTCGATAACAAAATTTGCGCTTATTTTAATAATATAAAAAAAAAATAATGAAAATAAAAATATAATAATAATCGTACTTGTATTTGATTTTATGTCTGATTCTTTGTATAACTGTGGCACATATAAGTGTTAACAAAGTTCCTAATAATGCTAATAAAATAGCTATGAGAATAACGTCGATTTGTAACCAAGGATCTTCTTTCTCGCGTTTACGTGGTTCAAGAGTTACGGGATGACTGTAAAGTATATTAAAATATTTAATTTAATGTATTTAACTTTTTATCAGAACTATGTTATTTATCATATTTTTAAAAATGTAATATTTCAATGTTTCTCGATCTTTTTAAGACATCAATTCTTTTTCTAATATAATAAGAACTTACTCTGTCTTCACAATTGCATAAAAATACATTTGATGAGAAGAGATATTTGTTATCTGATCGATTGTTATTCGAAAAATTCTCATCAAGATTATCGGATGATTTTAATACTTAGGATGCGTGTGAGTATTCAAGCGTTCGGGTAAACTCGAGTGGAATCGGACAAGTTCGGGTGTCTCGGGTTGAGATGCAAGTTTCAAATGTCCCAAATATCCGTTTAAGCCCGATTTCTTCCGAATCTGCCCGAAGCATCAAGTATTTGCACACTCCTAACCAATATATTTGGATTTCATTTCGATTCCATTGTGCTTACGGTAATTCCGTTTCCTGTTTTCCGAGTTCTTCGAACGTCGTTATCATCGCCCTCTGAAGATCTTTCCCTAATTGTTTAAAAGTAGATTTTCCTAACCAATCTGCCAGATCATCTCGATTTAATTGTCGAAGTCTGTGAGTCAAAATTTCGTGAGTAGTGCCTTTACCCTCGGCTGGAGCACTGTTCCAATGCACGAGATGTCGAATGCAAGGGATGTTTTCATCCACATTACGTTCTTGAAAAAACAAACGAAAATGAATAGATAGGTGGGTTAAAGTGCATAAATTTTGCAATATAAATAATAGAATAGTCACGATATAATCTATTTACTAATTACGATATTTATTGAAATCAAGATTTTTGATTGTTGATATTTCTATGAATGTTGAAGGCTTGTTTACACACTTGAAAAGGATTTACTTCAATTTCCGATGGATTCTATGAATACATTATATTTTTTCCAACAAGTAGAAGAGATAATAATCGTTAATGTATTCTATTCAATCATTAGTCGATTTACCAGCACCTGCCAGATCTCTTGGTAGCTCGTAAGTGGTGTAATGAAGTGCGGCTATCAATCGTCGACATTCGAAGTGATTAAGACGAGCGGCTAAATATTCCAATTCATTTAAATTAACATCGATCGTGGCAAGGACATCGTATCGCAATAGAATAACAATGAAGCTTAAACGTGTGGGCCATTCGTGCCCATTTTTCGATAATCCTTTCATCGCGAAATTAACGAAATAACCTTCTTTTCTCTTCGTTTCGCGAGAAATTAGTTCTCGCGAATTTCATAGAGGACGCAATTAATGTGTGACAAATTTCACGAAAGATTTTTAAAACAGATTCACAATTTAAAAAAACTCGATCAATCGTGTGATTTAAATCTCGATAATTATTAAAATTATGTTAGTTTATGTAGAAGAATCATTCATTGATTCGTTAAGTATTTCTAAAAAATAGAATTATATTACAAAAATGATTAAACAAATTAAACAAATTAAACATTTTCATGACTTTGTAATATTAATTTCCTTATTTTTATAACATTATACAGATGTACTCCGATAATTCAGTATATTTAATATAAAATAAAATTACAGGTGTGAACATTTGAGCTTTATACAATTCGTGTGTTGAATTTAATATATTCAACACATTTTTTTAATTACACGCTTTATCTATGCGGTCTTTTCGCTGCTCTCTTTCGTTTCTTCTTGAAACATCTTTGACAACCTGGTGATTTCGTTGTCTCTTCCACTTCCTTCACGGGCGTCACGGGAACTGCAGCGTTTTGTGTGGCAGTGGTCACCATTTCGTACGATGGCGCCCTTTTCCTTTTCCTTCGTGGTTTTCGAAGAAAGTAACTTCTAGATATATCTGCTCCCTCTTCTTCGATCATGATCAATTTACTAGCCAAATTATTATAATTATAATTATAATTATTATTATTATTATTATTCATTGAATTTACTATTACAATAAATATTTTCGAATTAACCACACTCATAATTACCCTTTTTTCTTCTTCCCTCGTAATCGATCAAACAGATGCCCGAATTTTTTCTTTATAAACAAAGTGCAACAACACGTAACTAATATAATTGAAATAACAATGAGCGTTGCAGTTTGCACCGACAATGTGAAAGTAGTAAACCCTGCAAATGGTAAGAATATTTATTTATCACGATCAAGAGGAAATTGTTATAGCCGAGAAAAATTTATTACTGATTTTCTCGATCTGTTTCGGGAGCTTAGGTTTTGGTGTTGTGGTTGGTGGTTGATATTCATCATAGTCTCTGGAGAATCATAAAATTGTTATAGAATGAGAAAAACATTATGAAACTTACGTCTGTTTATTCTAGATGTCGCAAATAGTATTTCTAGGAACATATGTGTTTTCTCTAGTTTTATTTGAGTCACATTTATATTTGGCAAAAATCTCTGAAATAGCTCAAGTGCATAGTGGACGAAAAGGAAGACGTTTCTTCTTATAAAGAGTTTAGTATTTTTATACATACGGATTATCATGAGGATTGTCATGAGGATTGTCATGAGGATTGTCATGAGGATTGTTATGAGGATTGTCATTAAAATTTGGCGGACAGTCTGAAGTTGGGAACAGCTTGTAATATCTATATTGTAACAAAAGTTTTATCGATTATTTTCCAACAAATATTAAACGTCAAAGATTTTTTAAATATCAAAGTTCCTCGAGTTTTTTTTTCTCTTTCTCTCGAGGAAGTAGAATTTATTCATTATCAAATTATCAATATCTTACCCAATAGGTTGAACTTGACGAACCACCTTTGGAACATTCGTAGTTTTCATACTGAATTCTGCGAGACACGCGACCAAATCTCTTCTTCCGATTCGTTTAAGATGATCGTTCAAAATCGGATACGTATTCCTCGTAACTGTTCTCAATTGGCATATCCATTTCACGAGTCTTCGAAAACAGCTTTGATCTCGGGCTAATTTTTGTATTTGCGTTTCCGATAAAGGAGCTGTCGTAATAATTCGTAATAATGTATCTTATTGTTCAAATTATTTTTTATCGAATTATTATTATTTTATATAAAAAAGAATTTGTTCATTGTTTATCGAGCGTATATCGCTTCTCGATGTGATAATTAGAATTTTATTATATTGGACATGGATATTATCTTTGACATGACGATTGTATTTTTATCGTATCGAAAGTGTATCATCTTGGAAATGAATCACGATGGTAACTAACACTATGTAATTGTGTTACACGTATATTTATCTTGTCATTTTAGAGTAGTATCAGTTTTAATTTAATCATATTTAGAATCCAATAGTAGATATAAATAAAACGATAATTTAATTGTAAGTCATGTATGAAGTATTGATATTTAATAAATGTTAATATCGATACGTGTTGCTAGAAACATTTGTCGAATAATAATATGGCCCATTTAAAAAGACATTATTGAATCATTTTTGTTAAATTTATGAGAAATGATTTTAAATATTTTATCGTATATATGATTCTGCATGGAAAATATTTTTTCAAAATTTTAAATAGGGAGAACAATAACATTTGTTCACTTACAATTAGAACCTAAGGATACAAGTTTGACACACTCTTCAGGCTTCAAGTTTGACGCTAACAGCTGGAGTTCTGGTACATCAACCTCGGTAATGATCTTCACATAAATAAAAGATGGTACATAATAATTTTTTTTTTTACAATTATTTAAGTTACTTATTTAAAATATTTTTGAGCGAGATTCTTATCTTGCCTGATCAATTTCATGAAATGAAGTATACCTGGAGGAAAGAAGGGATAAGGTAAAGTAAAAGAAGAATCAGTGCAATTTCTAATGCGTTTCTTAAGTTCATCGAGATTTCCAAGGAATTAATACAATTCAATTACATTTTTTAATGATTCTTAATACTAGTTTTCTTAAATTAATGCATTATATTCTTCGAGTTAAGTAACACTGATTGTCTGATTTTTATATTCAAATCTGCTAAATATCCTGTAATAAATACAATCGATCGGTTAACGAAAAGTGGCAGAAATATAGTAAGTAAATGAAGAAATTCAAACCTTAAAAACGAAACTTCGTTTGGTACGCTATCCAACATAACCTATAACCTGATATTTGCTTAAAAAAAAAGTGACATAGAATAATCTTCAGTTCCTTAACTATACTACACGAGAAACGACACAGACGAAACAGAATATTTTAAAATATTTTCAATCGAGCAACTCCATCCATCAATTTCATATTTCAAACTAATCCGTTTTGCAATACTTATGTGTACAACGTGAACATAGTTTAATTCACATTATACGTGCAATTAAAAATGATTTGTCAAATTGATCAGGTTTTGAAATGATTCATTAAAATATTTATAACCGAGGAAAAATATAGTCGCTTGAGTAATCGATAGCATTAAAACGACTGTCGATTATGAATCTGTCAAAAATGTATTTTCTCGTCTGACAACAAAATGTAATTCACCGATTTATACGAATTTTACATGCCCATTTTAGAATGAAATTTGTATGCTCAATTTACATTTTATTTGTGATTTTTGCCGAAAACAAGGTGAGCCTTTACAAGAGAATCTATGATTGTTTAATCGTTTAATTTTACAAGATTTAATAAAAATTATTATCATATCACATGGCGTAACACGTTGACGATACACTGTGATAAGACAGTGTGAAGATAATCAAATGATTTTTTAACTGCACAATATCATGTTTGGCGCCCTTTGAGTTTTGAATCATACGCCTCTTTAAGGAATTTTTTAGAATTTATTATATTTATTCTTTAACTTTAATTTCTATTATCTTTACAATTCTAACTTTTGCAATATTAGTTATCATTTCATATTATTAGAAAAATATCAATTTGAAATATTTTATATGATTGTTTTTTAAAAAGATGTTATATTGCAAAAATTACATGATATCATGTGTTTGAATTAATTTCATTTGAATTAATGTTTAAGGAAAAATTTTTCGTACAATGTATCGCCAATATAAAAGAAAACGAACTCGTATATCTGTCGAACTTGTTAAACCCTGTAGAATGTTTGCAACTTGTACAAGCTATATACGAAGTAACTCCGATGAAAACGGAACGTAGGGTGAGAAAGTATGAAACTTTAATGAATAAAGATTACACTGGAATGTCGACATTGTCGAAAGAATGTCTTCTTAATCTTGAAGAATGGAGCCAAGATTTTCCAAGTAAAATAATTAGAATCAAAGAGATAGGTGAACATATCTGTTGATATATTATTTATTTTCTATTATTATTAATCATATACTATTATACTATCTTCAATAATTAGTTCATCCTATTTTTTTTTTTTTTTACATTAAAAAAATTAATCGAATTCTTCATGAAAAATAATTTCTTCGTAGCAAATGCGAGACCAAATGGAAGGATAACGATGGAAATGATATTAAGATGGTTAGGACGACCAGATTTGGCAAAGTATGTGAGAGAAAATCGCAGTATTGACTACTTCGATACAGAGAATTTAGCAGATACGTTAGAATTTCCAGGACACAGAGTGTCGAAAAGGTATACCCCGGAAAAGGATAAAAATGCACAAGCTCATAAAAAAAAAAAGAAGAAAAAGAAAAAGAAGAAGAGAAAGCAGAAAAATTCTAACGCACAAAATAAAAAAGTTGGAAAAGCAGTTGCAGCAATGGGAGCACATGCTAAAGTGTAACATTTTTTCAATCTTGCCATGTTTTTTTTTTTTCTTTTTTTTAGAATCATATTAATCACATATCAAATGAAGGATTGTGTAAACAAGTAGTGATTTTTTGTTAATACTCAAGTCTATGTAAATTAATATGATTATTATATATAGTAAAGTAATTTTTTTCAATGAAATAATTTTAAATAAATTTTATTTAAACTAGTCATATTTATTTATTTCAGTAACAAGAATCATCGTGAGTTAAAAAAGAAAGATGATCGTCATTCAAGACAGCC